TGGGGAGGGCGGGTGAGACCCACCTGTGTCCGATGGGGAATGGTAGGTGAAGGGGCCTGCAGTCAAAGTCTTGGCCAGGAACCGCAGGGTGTCTTCAAGGCCGGAGAGCAGCTGTGTGGCGACGCGGTGCCGGGTGGGTGGGGACAGATCTTTCAAGTCCCCAGGGGCTTCCATCAACTCATCCACCAATTTGACAAGGTTCTGGAGGTAATGAGTGACAGGGCTGCTGGGCACTGGACCAAAAGTGGATCTCACCCCCCACCAGAGGGTGCACGGGAGCCGCACAGGCACAGGGGAATCTTTGAGGTGATGCAGTAACCAGAAAACAAGTAGCAGACTGACTGAGTGCATGCCTGTGTGTCTGTCTGAGTATCGACAGTCCTTAACACTGATAGGGGACAGTCTGCCTGCTGCTTTTTTCTTTCCTTTTTGTTAGAGACAGGGTCTCACTCTGTGGCCCAGGCTCACTGCAGCCTCAAACTCCTGGATTCAAGCACTCCTCTCACCACAGCCTCCCTAGTAGCTGGGACTACAGGTGTGAGCCATCATGCCCAGCCAGCTCTGCTTTCACCCTGTGCTGTCCAGCACTTGAAATGCTTCTGGACCCGCTCTGAAGCATAAAATACACTTCGGATTTCAAAGACCTCATTTTAAAAAAATACAAAATATCTGTGAGTTGTTTTTTTTAAAGTCATTCCAGGCTAAGCACAGTGGTTCATGCCTGTAATCCCAGCACTTTGGATGGCCATGGTGGTAGGATAGCTTGCACCCAGGAGTTTGAGACCAGACTGGGCAACATAGCAAGACTTCATCTCTACAATAAAAAAAGTTTTTAAAATTAGCTGGGAATGGAGGTGCATGCTTGTAGTTCCAGCTACTCAGGATTTTGATATAGAAGAATCACCTGAGCCCAGGAGGTCAAGGTGGTGGTGAGCTTTGACTATGACACTGCACTCCAGCCTGGGCAACAGAGTGATACCCTAACTCAAAAAAAAAAAAATTCCATGTTGACATTATTACTATGTTGTATCTGTTGAGTTAAATGCAATCTTTTTTTTTTTTTTTTTTTTTTTTTTAATTGGAGTCTCACTCCAGGCTGGAGTGCAGTGGCACGCTCACGGCTACTGCAGCCTTAATCTGCTGAGCTCAGGTGATCCTTCCACTTCAACCTTCCAAGTACTGGAACTACAGGCATGCCCCATGATGCCCGGCTAATTTTTTTATTTATTGTAGAGACGAGGTCTCGCCAAGTTGCCCAGGTTGGTCTCAAACTCATGGGCTCAGGCAATCCTCACACTGCAGCCTCCCAAAGTGCTGGGATGACAGGCCTGAGCCACTGCGCCTAGTACATCATTTTTCTACTGGGCTGAGCACGTACATGAAAACATCTACATAAGGCATACCGTGTGTCAAGTTCTGTTCTTTGAGTATTACTTCTGGTTGATTGACTATTTTTTTTGTAGAAACAAGGTCTCGCTAGTTGCCCAGGCTAGTCTGAAACTTCTGGCCTCAAGCCCTCCTCCTGTCTCGGACTCTCAAAGTTCTGGGATTACAGGCGTAAGCCTATTCATTTATTTACTTTTTATTTATTTTTTTTTGAGTTGGAGTCTCACTCGGTCGCCCAGACTGGAGTGCAGGGGCCGTTCCCGGCCACAGCAGCCTCGACCTGCTGGGCTCCGGCGATCCTTCCACCTCAGCCTTCCGAGTAGCCGGAATTACAGACATGCACTACCACGCCTGGCTGATTGTTTTTTGATTTATCGTAGAGATGAGGTCTTGCTGCCCAGGCGGGTCTCGAACCCGCGGGCTCAGGCAATCCACTCACCTCAGCCTCCCAAAGGTGCGGGATTACAGGCTGAGCCACCGAACCCGGCTAAACTCCAGGTTCTTAACTACTCTGCTGTGTTGCCTTTTTACCTCTCATGTGTGTGTGTTTGTGCGCGTTTCCCTGTCTGTGTTTGTGTAATGGGTGTATACCGTAGGTGGTGTGTGTACATTGGACATGCGGACAACACATCGCTGACCGAGCCGCCTGCTGGGGTCAGGCACACACTGTAGCATTCCCTAGCAGCTGCTACACTGTCCTGGGGTCCCCCAGGGTCCTGCTCTTACCTGGAGGGTGCTGTCGGCCGAGCCTGGCTTGAAGGTGCCACCTAGAGCCTTGACTTGGTCGAAGAAGTGGGAAAGAGTCTGGGGAGAGGGGAGAGGTAGGGTCAGACAGCTTGGAGGGTGGGGGAAGCTCGGGCTAAGCGGTAGCTCTGAGGCAGAGGCATTTCCTGCTGGGCCACTTACCTGACTGCTGATTCCAGTGGGCGGGGTCCAGGTGGGGAAGGGCACCTCTGCAGGGAACAGGACAGGGGCTCAGTAGGGATGTGTGCTGTGAGGGGTTGGAGGGGGAGATCCTAGGGTCACGTCAGACCAAGTACCTTCACACACAGTTGTGTTCTTGTTATTCTGGAGCCCAGGTTTGGGCTTCCAGCCTGGGCCACAGCGGCACATGTAGGAGCCCACGGTGTTGACACAGATGGTGGAGTTGTGGCACCGATGCTGCCCGGAGCTGCACTCGTCCACATCTGGGGACACAAAGAGGGGTCAGGCCCTGTCCCAGCCAGATAGGGTCCCCTGTCCTGCCTGTGCCCCACCTCGTGCCTCCC